GGGGGGGGGGGGGGGGGGGGGGGGGGGGGGGGGGGGGAAGGAGGGATTGCTTTCATGTTGACCACAGTTAAACATCACTTAGGCTAAGACAGCCTAGAAAACAGTTAAACAGGAAATTCGAGTAAATTATTTAAATGTTAGCCACCAAAATGAGTATATTGATCAGTGGCAGGTGGAACTTTTTTTATTTGTTTTTAATTGCCAAAGTATACATGCCCATTATAGAATATTCTAGTAGTTCAGAAGGATATAAAATAAAAGGTGAAAGATCCTACCTCTCTCCTTGGCTCCCTCCTTCAATCCCCTTTCCAAAGCCACCACTTTTAATAGCTGCGTATAAATCTTCTGGGCCTCTTTCTATGAATATATACTATTATAATTTTTAAACCAAAGTGGGATGAGGAACCTGTTGATCTGCAAATTGCCACTGTTTCTACCCACATAGTGATATGTCGCTAGCATCTTTCTGGTTCAGCTGGATCATTATTTTTAACAGTTGTGTGAATCTATCATGATGTAGTTATTAAAGCTCCTGATAATTAGGGGGGGTTTGCCCATTATTTTCTATTACAAACAATGCTGCAGTAAAAATTTTGTGCCCGTGTGTGCGCACCTGCGTGAGGACTGCGCTAGGGTCCAAGCCCAGAGGCACGGTGCAGATACTGCCAGGTCGCCTTTCAACAATACTGTGTCAACTTATTCAGGAAAGCACGCTCCCAGGGAAGAAAAGGGTTTAACATTTCCAGCAAAGAGAGGGAAGGAGTTAGGCTTGTCCTTCAGGGAGTGCGGGAGGCTAGGCTTTGCTTGGGGACGTGCGCTCTGTTGGGCGGGAGAGGCGGCCCGGCGAAGGGCGGGTGCCCTCGGCTCGCGGAGCCGGAGCCGGAGCCGGAGCCGGAGCCGGGGACGGGAAGCCTGGTGGGGATGCGGGACGCGGGCCGAGGTCTAACCGCGTCGGTGTGTGTTTCCCCCGCCCCGAGCAGGACGACAAGTACTGGGCGCGGCGCCGGAAGAACAACATGGCGGCCAAGCGCTCGCGTGATGCGCGGCGCCTCAAGGAGAACCAGATCGCCATCCGCGCGTCCTTCCTGGAAAAGGAGAACTCGGCGCTGCGCCAGGAGGTGGCCGACCTGCGCAAGGAGCTGGGCAAGTGCAAGAACATCCTGGCCAAGTACGAGGCCCGGCACGGGCCCCTGTAGGCCGGCGTCCGCGGGCGGCCTCAGGCCCCGGACAGGGGTCTCCTGGTTGATTGCACCGCACCTACCGACCTTCCTGACATCAGCACTTTACCAGATGCATCAACAGGACGGACTCACATTTTGGCGTGGGTGTGTGTATGTGCTTGTGCTTATGTGTGGTCAACGGGTGTGTGTGTGTGTGTGTGTGTGTGTGTGTGTGTGTGTGTGTGCGCGCGCGTCTGCGCGCGTCCCTTTGCACTTGCCATTTTGATAGCCCTCCATCGTCTTTTAGTTCCAAAATGAAAGGTGCCATGTTTTTACTGGACTGTGGAGACCTCTCGTGGGTTTCCTGACCCCCTTCCTCCTCCACTCCTGTCCTTTCCGCGTGGCTTCATGTTGGCACTTACCTACTTTTCCAGGACCCTTTGGTTGGGCTCACTAAGAAGGGCCCTGGTGAAATAGTAGATCTTGGTTTTCAAGACCACAGGCTCTTGTTTCTGTTTAATCTGTAAGTTACCATGCTAATAAGGTGCACAGAATAATTTAGCACTACACTGCAGCTCCATTCAGTTACAGGTTGCTTCCCTCCTATCTTCAGTTTTGGTGATAATCGTCTTCAAATTTAAAGTGCTGTTTAGATTTATTAGATCCCATATTTACTTACTGCTGTCTACTAAGTTTCCTTTTAACTCTACCAACCCCGGCAAGTAAGAGTACTATTATAGAACACAGAGTGTGTTTTTGCACTGTCTGTACCTAAAGCAATAATCCTATTGTACGCTAGAGCATGCTGCCTGAGTATTACTAGTGGACGTAGGATATTTTCCCTACCTAAGAATTTCACTGTCTTTTAAAAAACAAAAATTACAGTAATGCATTTGAGCATGACCAGAACATCCCCAGGACAGAGAAGCAGAGGGAAATGCCAGGTCTAAGAACGAGGGGTTAACTTATCAGTATACAGCCAAAAAAATGCATCTTGGAACAGTTTTTGACATTGATGTGTTTGCTTTTGTTTTCTCCTCTTTCCCATACCCTTAGCCCCCAGTTTTCTAGTTAACTTTTTCCACATCCCTCTTGATATTCAATACAATTCAATTAAGATTCAGTTTTCCCCATTTTTTGTAATATATATGTTTTTGTGAATTATACCTTGTCGTTTTTAAAGATCAGTCAGTTAAGTTAATAAGTTGATGTTTTGTAAAACCCTTTTTCCTAGTGGTGTCATTTTTGAATGCTTCATAAATTAATGATTTTGGAGCTTATGTTTCTTATTCTCTGTTTGCTTTTGAACGTATGTGCTCTTATAAAATGGACTTCTGAAAAATGAATGTAAAAGACACTGGTGTATCTCAGAAGGGGATGGTGTTGTCACAAACTGTGGTTAATCCAATCAATTTAAATGTTTACTGTAGACCAAAAGGAGAGATTATTAAATTGTTTAATGTTTATACAGAGTAATTATAGGAAGTTCTTTTTGTACAGTATTTTTCAGATATAAATACTGACGATGTATTTTGGAAGACATATATTATATATAGCAAAGAGAAAAGGAAAACTATTCCATGTTTTAAAATTATATAGCAAAGATATATATTCATCAATGTTGTACAGAGAAGAAGTGCTTGGGTGTTTTTGAAGTCTTTAATATTTTAAGCCTATCACTGACACATCAGCATGTTTTCTGCTTTAAATTAAAATTTTACAACAGTATCGAAGCTTGCTGTGACAAATTCTGCTCTAAAACATCAAAGGAGCTTTCTTATTTCCTATTAGGTCTCAGAAAGAAGTCAGTTAACATCACCCAAAAGCACAAAATGGATGTTAGTCAAATATTTATTGGATGATACAGTGTTTTTTAGGCAAAGCATCTGCCACAAAAATGTTCACTTCAAAATTATGAGTTCCTGGAATGGAACATCACTGCAAGCATCCCAAACAATTCTGTTCTCCTCTGTGAGCACGTGCATCGTACGCAGTATAAGGTTAATATTGGTGCTATGTGTATGGTTTATAATTTGATAGATGTTTTGACTTTAAAGACGATTGTTCTTTTGTTTCACTAACTTGTGTCGAGAGATTCTGCTGTTGTTGCAAAGAAACATTTTCCGCAAGATTAAAATACCCTTTAATCAGTGGGATTTTCTAGTTTCCTGTGTCCAGAGTATGTAATTCTTTAGTGACCTGGTGGTCTCCTTGTCAATCCATCAGCAATGCTTCTCTCATAGTGTCATAGTCTTGGAAAATCTGAATAGTAAAATATTCCTGCTAGGTATCCATTTTGTCCCAAGCTACAGATTATGGTGGGAGATGGGAGAGTATTGGAATTGAAATACATTGTTCAGGTAAATAACCAATAAAATAAACAAGACCTTTGGCAAACTTAAGCAGAACTGAATAAGTGTTATTCAGAGAAACAAGTGGACATGGAGTTGGCCTTTTTATAGGTAAAGAGACTAATTGCAGCAGAATTGTTAAATCGTCACTAAAACAGAAACAAATGACATCTTTAAGTGGAGAAGTGTTGAAGGATTGTCCTGAAGACCATCTAAATTCATTGACGTTTAAAATGGTAGCTGAAAAAACTGTATTTGAGTACTGGTCTTTCTGAAATTAGGTTGTTTGTATCAAATGAGCATCATAAATGTTTTCTGCAGAAGAAATAAGATCATAATAAAACATTCTTTGGCATGCCAAGGGAGGTTTCAGAAACCTACCTCGTCTTAAAAATTTAAAAACTTTGGAGTCTGTATAGGTGCCTTAGATGTAGGTTATTGTCACCACACACATGAGCACTCAACCCCTGGACTCACTGCCTTCTGTCCAGGGCAGTCAGCTAGTAAATAAAGCAGTTCTGCTAAATGGTATGGGAAGCCCGGCCCAATTTGGAATGACTTGGAACATCCAGGGTCAAATGAGTTCTGCAGACTGAAGCTATTAAAAGAGTCCTGTTGTAATTTTTCACCTTTTCATCTTAAGCATCTTTCAGAGATTAATTACTTGGCCATTAAAAATGAATCCAAATCATATTATGCCAACATCATTTAGACATGATTTGGAATGAGCGGCCTAGAACTTCCTGACAAGGTCACATCATTTCTTTTGACTAGACTTGCGAAGAAAGGCAAAAATTGGTCAGCCTATCCTTCTGCTTGTGCCGCCTTGAGGACATAGGTAGGGAATGGGAGGGAGGTCAGTGATCACTTCCTCCCCTTGAGAAAGTGGCCACTTTTGACCATTCAAAACCCACAGTGAGCAGGATAGTGACAGGCCTTTCATCTTCAAATACAACAGACCACTGTGAAACCATCCTTTGAAGCAGAAGGACCATTCGTTTGAGGAGCGTGCAGACGGAATTCTGGCATTGGGTGGGGAGGAAGCTGTATGAGAAAGCCCAGAGGTTCCTTCCAACTCACCAGTTTTGTGAGGGAATTCACAATAATTCTGAATGTACATTTGAAAGGTCTTGAGTCTGTTTTCAGAAGAGTCAAGAAGAATTTTAAGTAGAGTCCTTCCCACCTCCCACCCCCACCCCAAAGTAAAACAAAGGTCATTCTGTAAAACGCAAGGAGTTTATCTACTTTTCCCCTAATGTTCCTTTTAGGAAAATTCAAACTTGATCAGCGTTAATCAGACCAATCCCAGAAGGTGGTAGACACCTGCTTTCAGTCCGCCAGCTTCCTGCTGAGGGCTTCTAGGCCCCCACTGGGAAGGCCAAGATCTCCTCTAGGTTTTCTCTACAATTAACAGTGTCATTTTTAAATGAGCAAAGCCATGTCTTCAATCTTGATACATTGGATTTGGCAACTAAAGTCAGTACATTTTGCAAAGGGCCAAGTGTATGTAGAGGAATGTGTGTGTGTGTGTGTGTGTGTGTGTGTGTGTGTGTGTGTGTGTGT